TTTCAATATCAATTTATCCTACATATTAAAGACATTTTCCTTACAAAATTAAAAAAAATATATATAGATATTTAGGAAAAACACAACTGCGACCTGTTGCTTAACATTTTAATCAATCATGCATCATACTCTTTTTTAGGTTTTAGTAGGTAGTAGGAAACCTAGATAAATCAACATTTCACCACTAATGAATAACATTGGTGGCTGTTAAAAGCCAATCAAAATAGATGAGTTCCTATTTTTAATTTAGATTCAAAAATATGAAATACTGCCATGGCATTTTAAAAGGTTAATTATCAAATATAGAATAATTAATTAGTCTTTAAAAATCTGGTAATAGTCCAATAAGTAATATAGTCTGTCAATAAAATTGTGTGGTAGTAATTGTAAGTAATTGTCATTAAGGACATAATAGGTAGGTATGTGCTATTTATGATCGTAAAAACAAAACAGAAAAAGTCCTTTATTATTTAAGTAGGTAAAGAACTATTATCCTATATATGTATAATTAGATACTAAAATTGTCCTTTTTGCCGCCCCACAATGTATAATAGTTGTTATTCAATTTTAAATTTGTATAGGGAAGATAGCTTTAGTACTCATTATTTGCCTAAATGATAAAATATTATACATATTATACTGGGTGTCCCACAAGGATTTCCCCATTGCAATATCTCCTAAGATAATAAATATATCATAAATCTGTTTTTTTTATTAGACTCGCATAGACAAGGGCTACATGTATTTTATTTTTTGATAAAAGTTTAAAAAATTATTTTTAAATTTTTGAAAAAAAATAAAGTTACGTATTTTATAGATTATTTTGACCTTTCCACTTTTTATTTTCTTTAATCACTAGTTTTTCATAATTTTTTTAGTCAATAGATAAAACAGCAAAAAACGTTCGAAAAAACAGGTTTTCATTCGGGCGGCGAGTCCCTCTCTATGGCTAATGGGTATATTCTTACGAGACGTTTTGTGTATAAAGTTATATACAATCAAATAAATAACTACTTTATTATCAGTAATCAATGGCAAACCAACATACAAACAATAAAATAATAATTTTTTATGAGGCAAAACAAAATGCATGTGTTAGTCCATTCTATAGTGAACTTATATGGATTGAAAATAAGGCTAAAACACCTATGATATAACTTATTTTGAAAACTGTGCAGTATTTAGAATATTCAACAAGTCATAGCCCTCCATAAAACAAATTGGTGCCCTTTCTAAAAATATTAGAAATTAATATTGTTTTAATATATAATGCCACCCTAAAATTTGGTTTGCCCAATCTGAAAATTTTTTCTGGCCACAGGTTAGGATAAAGAATATCTAATGATGTCAAAATAATATAAAATAATTGATTAGGTTCTAAAGAAGTTAAAACCATTATCCCTGTAGGTATACACAATAAAATAAACAATAGATACCTACTTATCGAAAATGTTGAAATGATCCTAAACATATACAGGGTGATTTTTTTATCATGAACCACTCATTATTTCAAAAAGTATCAATGTTTTT